AAGGGGCCCCAGAGAGGGAACACGGAACAACTTTTCGAGCCCTCGGCCCTAAGAAGCCCCTACGAGGCCCCAAGAGGCCCGTAAGAGGCCCCAAGAGGCCCCCACGAGGCCGTCAGGAGGCCCCCAAGAGTCCCCCAAGCGGCCCCAGGAGGCCCCCCAAATGCCCCCCGAGCGCCCCAGGAGTCCCCCAAGCGGCCCCAGGAACCCCCAAAGCGCCGCATTGACACCAGGCCCTCGGGCAAACGGCAGACATGAGACTGTATGGGCCGGCGGAATGAGCGAAGCGATTAAATAAAATAGTCTCATATCGGTTGCGCCGTAGTTTGCGCCCTCGGCGGCCGAGAATAAAACCGTCTCCTATCGGTTGCGCCACAGGTTGCGCCCTCGGCGGCCGAGAGTAAAACCGTCGCGAAGAGGGTGCGACCAGTCTGTTCTGTTCAGTTCAGTTCAGCTCAGCTCAGTTCAGTCAGTTCACGTCGCGAGAAACAAAGTCGGGCTACGCCCGAAACTAAAGAAACGGGAAGGAGAAAGAAGTGGAGAGCTTGCAGCGGCGGCCGTGGCGACAGCGGCAGCGAGAGCGAGAGGGGAAATGCTGAACAGAGATCCTAGCTTTTTCTTTCTCATGCGCGCGTACCACTCTCCATGGTTCGGCGGCGGCGGCAAGGGAAGGGTCGCCGCGTCGGCATCTTGTTCACATCTGATCCCCCCGTGATCGTCCTCCCCCTCGCCCATCGCACTCCGTCCTGGTAAAAGTTGCACACTGTTGCGTTTCGGGCCCGAAATTGTGAGGGGATCCAGGCAAGCGAGATACTTATGCTGAACAAGAGCTGCCCTCCATGTTTCCAGCTGCTGTAAGCTCTCATAACGACTGCCAGCGGTGCTGAGGCGAGAACCACATTTTGAAAACGGCCTTCCCTCCATCCGTGGGGTGGATACAAACGACTTCGGGACACAATTTGTGAGCGGCTTTCAGGCGAAATGTCCAGAGCGCCTTACCAGCACAAGAGTCCCTGGGCGCAGCGAAGTTATGAGGAAAAGCGGTGGAGGAGGGAGGGAGGGAGGGAGGGAGGGGTGGAGGATGAGGGCAAAGAGAAAGAGGAAAGCTTGAAACATAATCCACGGCACAAGCAGAAACTCTCGGAGCTGCGCGCGGGTTTCCTGCTTCGGCGCTGGACCCCCTCCCCGGCGCGCGGAGCGCGCCAGGGGCGTCGCCCGATGCGCTGTCAAAGGGGGGTTCAGCGCCGATCAAAGAACTCCGCGCGGAACTGCGACAGCTTATGCTCGTGCCGTCTTTTACCAGCCTCGAACGTATCCCTATCCCTGAGATTGACACGCCAAAAGGCGATGACAATCAAAACATAACGGAATCCCTAAGATGGGCATCGTGATGAGGAGGTGCCCAGCACAGGGACAGGGATATGTTCCAGGCTGGTAAGTCTTTTGCTTTCCCTTCACAGAGTCGGAGGTCGCCCCCCCCCCCCCCCGACTAAGAGCCTGGCGGCGCAGCGGGGAGGAGCCGCGCGTGCGAGGAAGAGGGGTAGAGGGGGAGGGGAGAAGGAGGGAGAGGAATGGAGGGCGGAAGGATGAGAGGGGACGACGAGGAGAGGAAGGGGAGGGTGAGCTGAGGAGGACGAGGATGAGGAGGACGAGGCGAGGGTGAGAACGAGGAGAAGAAGGAGGAGGATGAGGAGGGGGAGAAATAGGAGGAGGACGAGGAGGAGGACGAGGAGGAGGACGAGGAGGAGGAGGAGGAGGAGGAGGAGGAGGAGGAGG